AACGAATAATCAAGAAATTCTGCTAGCTACGAGCATTTTAGCGACAGATCAGCGACGACGTTCGTTGCTATTTCCAGTTTTTTTAGTAGTGTCATCAAGTATACCCACTCTCATCACACTCAAGGTGTCTGGCTCAAATGCCTCATCACACACTATCACTCAACACTGTATGGGTGCCTGGCCCAAAGTCCCTCACCAAAGCACGTGTATATATATATATANGACTTCGGAGGGGCAGATCCTGGTCCAAGCGCTAATCAATATCACATAGCCCAATCAAAGGGCTTAGTACACGCATAGCCTCAAAATTAGTACTACTTAGCCCAATGTAAAGCCTGGCGTACGTGTCACCTCAATACCAATATAATTGTTATAGCGTGCAATTCGATCTAACAAAAATAACAACACGGCTCTACGCCCACATCAGTCATTAATCCGCTCAAGTCTCCACATGTCAACATCTCACAGAAACATAATCCAATTATATAACACGAAATATCATAATGTGCCTCAAATACAGCTCAAACCCATGTCACGTACAAAGACACCAATAACATGTGAGACAGCATATCAAAAGTGCACAGAGACAGAGATATAACATGCGAATGTAACTATCATGACTGTACAATATGACTATGGCTAAGGCAAAAAGATCAACATGGCAAAAATAGCCATATCATGTCTCAACCAATTAAGCAGGTGGCCTAGACATGATTTCGACAATGAATCTCACGTAGTAAAATAAATTGAGAAAACATGACATCAAAGAAGTATGATACAAAATAAGGTACATAATACTCTAAAAACCACCCATATAATGAATACCTCGGTGCACGCACACACGCCCATCACCTAGCACGTGTGTCACCCACAAACCATCTCAAATATCATAGTTCTCGGAGATAATTACCCTCAAATCTAAGTTTAGATATGTTACTTACCTCGAACAACCTAAACCAATACCGATCAAGACAAATCAATACTCTAGAAATATCATCCTGCACTACCCAACCTCTGAATGGCTTGAAATTAGCCAAAAGCAACTCAAAAACATCAAATGATGTCATAAGAAATAAACTCAAACGATAAAGGTCGAATGTTTAATAAAATACTCAAAGTCGATCAAAAGGTCAACACAGGCTCGTACTCCGAAATCCGACAAAAATCACAAATTCTGACAACACATTCGAATACGAGTCCAACTATATATACTGATTTCGCTCAAATCCAACTCCGAATAGATATTCAAATCTCGAATATTCACTTTAGAAAAGTTTAGACAAAAAATCCCAATACCTCTTTTAAATTCACCAATCAATTACGGTAAAAGAAGATGGAAATACATAATATAATCAAATATGAGTCAAATATACTTACCCCAATCTAAATCATAAAAATCACCTCCAAAATTTCCGAAATTCGAGCTCTATAACTCAAAATGTGATAAAATAACCAAAACCTTCGAAATAGAGTACTTTATAACATTGGTTCAAGAGAACTCATCGTGGTCGCGAAGCACAAAACTCACTGCCACAAAATTAGCCTTTGCGTTCGTGTCCCACACCTCACGAATGCGGTACACAGCTCAGTCCACACTACGCCAACGCGGACTCCCACTTGCAAACGCGAAGCGCAAAGCACCCAGCCCATCAACAGCCTTCTCTAATGCGGTCCCTCTACCGCGAACGCGTAAAACAAAACTCCTCTATCTCACCTTCCTTTTCACGAATGTGATCACCTGCTCATGATCGCAATGCCTTAACTAACACCACCAACACAAAACCCATTCGAAATTATCCGAAACCACCCCGAAACTCACTCGAGCCACTCGGGACCCCGTCCGAACATACCAACAAGTCTCAAAATATAATATGGATCTATTCAAGGTGTCAAATCACACATAATAATATCAAAACCACAAATCACACCTCAAATCAAACTTAATGAACTTTTGAACTTCCAACTTTCAACTTTCAAAACTCGTGTCGAACCATATCAAATCAACTCGGAATTACCTCAAATTTTGCACACAAGTTCCAAATGATATAACAAACCTATTCTAACTCCCCAAAAAATAATCTGAACCCGATATCATCAAAGTCAATACTCGGTCAAACGTATGAACCTTGCAAACTTTCAAATTGCCAACTATCGCAAATTATTGCCAAAACCTTCTAGAAGCCTCCAAATGCATAAACAAGCATATGCCTTAGTCCAAAGTTACCATATGGAACCATAAAAATTTCGATTCGAGGTCAAATACATAAAAGTCCAACTCGGTCAACTCCTCCAACTCAAAGTTTCTAAAATAAGAATCATTATTCCAAATGAAGCCCGAACCACTCGCAATCCAAAATCGACCATATATGAAGTCATAATACCTCATATGAAGTTACTCAAGATCTCAAACTACCGAACGGAATGTGAATACTCAAACCAACCGATCAGATCGTTACAGTACTTATACTATATTTTTACATATTTTTGTACAAATTTTATTCCTGATACTAGTGAGACAGGAGATTTAGGGGAGAGTGTAGGAGCTGACACTTGAAAACGTCGTGGTGAGCTGCCATGTTTGGATTTGCATCTTTTGGGAGTCGTACCTTCTATCTTTATTGATTATTGTCCTTTATTTCAAATAGTGATGTATTTTGAGTCAGTTATATTACTCCGTCTTTAGTTGCTCGTGACTTATACTACCAGCCATAGGAAATTATTTTTATATTCTGTATTTTATCAGATATTATTGTCACACCTCATTTAAATTATGATTGTTAGACTCTACTATGGAGGTCTTGTTTCTTAATTTTTGTATATGTTGGTTTGCATAGTAGTTGGCTTAGGTGCTATCACGATCTTGGTGAAAATTATGCCGTGACGATGCCGCTTCTTCCTTTTCTCCCTTGAGCTGTAATTAATCAATTTTGGTAATAAAATTGTTTATTTACCAAAATATGTATTCTCGCCAACTGTTTAAACTACTGTGCTAATCACCATTGAAACATGATACCTAAATTTTTACGCTCGTGGCTCATAAAATATGCAAATCGTGAATTCTTTATCATAGAACATCAGGATATATAGCTACAAGATTTTCATGGAAAATGTCATCATTTCCTTATATTTTTGTTCATATTTGCTTAATTAATTTCGAAAGTTCAAATTCGCTTTCTCATATCTCTTTCTTTGTTATTGGGGAAGGGTTAGTGGTCGCATCTTGCAGTAATTTTGCCAGTGTCGAAGCCAAGTGTTGACAAGGAGTTCAATTGAATCTCCTTTTGCTAAAATTATATTGTGCTAATACAGTAAAAATCAAATTTTTATGGACCTCTATAAGCAATGTTAAATTCCCTTTAACATAATAGAACTTTGAGGAGTAGTCGTAACGGCTAAAAATTATTTTAGATTACATGTGCAAATCCTAAGTTTTATATATTATTTTTTGAATCTTCTCGTATATTTTTAATGTCTCCGCCATTGAACTTTGCCATGAGCATTCTTCGTATTTGGCACTATTCTTGGGGTGTGGTCTTTGGGGGTGTGTGGGGGAGAGGTAGCACAACAATCTTTAATTGAAATTATAATCTCTCTCTTTTGGGAGAATAGGCAGAAGGAAATAGTTTTTCACTTGAAAAGCAATGTACAAACTTTTCAGGCAGAAATACTTCACAGAAGTAGCAGCAATTGAACTATAAATTAAATGAGCACCAAGCTACATGTATTTTGGAAATCATTTGTATTATGACTAATTCTCTTCTCATATCTGTCGAAAAATATTAGTCTATGTACAAGACCATTATTCGGGGTGAGGTACCTGGTCCTTATAATTTGTATAACTAGTACTATCGCTGATGTATATCCTTTGGAGCCAGAGAGTGTGGAGAGAGAGAGGGAGAGAGAGAGGGAGAGGGGGAGANCCATATTTATTCTTCTATTTTGTTTGAATTTTATCTTTTTCTATATATCCCTACTTCTTTTATGATTTTTTATTTATAAAAGAAATTCTTGTGCTACATGAAAAAGAGTACATGCATGGAAAGGAGTTGCGCGCAAGGAAGGAGAAGGAATAAATCATCAGATCAAGTTATGTGAATTTGATATAATTAGTTGGTCAGACTAGTCTTTCAACCTTGAGATACGACCTAAAGAGAAAAACGTCAAGGTAGTTAAGAGAAAGTAGAAAAGCTTCCTGTTACCTGCAAACTAGATTTGTGGCAAACAAACTTTCTTAAGATAGTTAAACTGCATGATCAAAACTTACAAATAGCAGAGACGGTTTGACTTATACAACAATTGTTCCAATTATAGATGTTACCCCGAGTTTCCACGTGCAGTTCCAAGATTGTTAAGACAATTTGTTAGTTAGGTACTTAGGTTTAGAAAGTTGAAGATGACCTAAACCTATCACCATACTTCTATTCAACACCAACCTTTTTGAATGTCTTAACAATTTTTTTTAAAAAATATTCTATCTTTAGCTATTATTAACATTTACTAAATCTGGTTAAAGGGGGAGAAGGAAAGCAAAATTCTATCCGTGTTAAGAAAGTGGTGATTGGACGTTAAGGCCTCCACTATTAGATGTGTCATTTAGTTTTATAATGCAGACTGTAAACCAGCTTTTGAATATAAGTATATTAATCTTTTTAGCGTTATGGAGTTTTAATCAATTTTACCATATCCTTTTTCTTTTAATAATTTATGATTAACGTATAGTTAGATCAAAGGAATTAATGCGGCTTAGGTAGGTTTGTAGGTTAGAAAAACTGGGAGAGATGTTGAAAGCAGAACAAAATTCACCCTAGCAAGCAACTTCCCTCCTAACCCCCTCTCAAAAAATAAATACTAATAAAATGAAAATACATGTGGAGCAATAAAATTTTAAAAAAAAATACAATACATAGATACATGCATGCGGAGTACAAGAATATTGATTTTTCAAAATATATATATTGAGGGGTCTTTGTTAGCCAAGATGTTGGCATCAATCACTGGTAGAAAGCTAAAGTCTGTACAAACGGAAAACATTTTCTGATCTCCTTTTATTGTTATTCCTCTTCTTATTTCTTCCTTAATATGTAGTCCCTATATTCTGTTTATAAGATCTGGTTTCTCAATATATGAATATTAGCTCTGAGTACTTCTTTACTTTTCACTTACCCTAAAAAACCCATTTATTCCCTTTTCACCAATCTTCTTTAAATCTTCTCAACTATTCGATATTGATCTTCTTGTGGATCTTCTCCTTCGTTGCTTTAATATTTTGTTTTTGGACTGTTTTTATAGCTTTACTTCACAAATAAAGAAAGGAGTTGAGGGTTAGTTTAAATTTAAGTTTCTATAGCTAGGAACTTTGTTTTATTATATCGGATATTATTGTTTGATAATTCATAAAGAAAGAAGCAGATGTGCAGCAGGGGCCATTGGAGGCCTCAGGAAGACCAGAAGCTTCGGGAGTTAGTGGAAAAATATGGACCTCATAATTGGAATGCTATAGCAGAAAAGCTTCAAGGAAGATCAGGTAAAACAAACTGAAAATCATCGTTGATATACTCCCTCCGTTCCAATTTATGTGAACTCATTTGATTGGGCATGGAGATTAAAACAGAGAAAATTTTTGAACTTGTGGTGTAAAATGAAGCACATATATTTTGTGTGGCTATAAATCATTGCATAAAGGTAAACTATTTCCAAATAGGGAAAGGGGTCATTCTTTTTTGTACAGACTAAAAAGGAAATAGGTTCACGTAAATTGAAATGGAGAGAGTATTAATTATTATACAACTAGCTGTATTTTCCATTTTTCTTCAGAATGTCTTTCTTTCTTTTGTACATATATACTAGTAATAGCTTTGTGGTGTCTAGTGTTCAAGACCAACAAGGTTTTGATAATCATAAGATGTGGAGTATAATTTATTTTCAAGAAATTTAATCTAATTTCCTTTTTACTTATTTGTTGTTATGCTTATTTATTATTCAGCTCAAAGGAGTTTGGTTATTTTGCTTCATTTTTTCCACTATGAAATGGTCTAAAGAAAACTTCTTTTTTAGCAATGTTTAGTTTTAGATTTGGTTGTTTGTGCTCACCGGAAACTAGGGTTTGATGAGGACAGTTCGATTTTTTCCCTTTTTTTTATTTTAGGGAAAGTGGTTGTTGTTCTATCGCCAAGAAGATGGTCATATTTCCTTGTTGTTCCTCTTTATTTTTATTTTATTTATTAGCACTCATCTATCATACGGGTACATTCGATAGAGTTTCAGCTTGATTACTTTTCCAATATATTTTCTTTTCTTTTTTCCTTTTATAATTTTTTTTCTTTGTTTAGGATGTATCTAGGATTTGATTGCAATAATTTTATATGGAAGTCTTTTTCTCATATCTGTATTACGGTCAAAAACTTACTCATATGTTTTAACTAAACCATATTAATTTTTTATGGTTAGGTTATATGTATATTAATTTTTTAATTTGTTAAAGGTATCACTAAAGCTAAGCTATACTGACTTGTGGTGATGGGGGTTTAACATGACTCCTACGTGTCTGTATGTGTAATTGTCTATGGTTTAGTGATGATAGAGAATGTAGGATACATGTTATGTATTGAGTTAGTGTAAACTCCAAGGGTGAGTATGTTTTTTCCTCTGTATTACTATGTGATATTGGCTTCTTGAATTTGGAAAAACAAATATATGAATAAGCAAAAGGAAAATTGATGTAGTTCAATTTTCTTTGCATCGTGAAACAACTAATTATGGAAAGGAAATATTAAAGATGATAAATATTGAAACTCGATAAAGTCATGCTTGTTACTATATATCTTGTAGGGAAGAGTTGTAGGCTGAGATGGTTCAATCAATTGGATCCAAGAATCAACCGAAACCCTTTCACAGAGGAGGAAGAAGAAAGGCTTCTTTCTGCTCATCGGATTCATGGCAATCGATGGGCAATAATAGCGCGTCTATTCCCTGGTCGGACTGATAACGCTGTCAAAAATCATTGGCACGTAATTATGGCACGAAAATGCAGAGAACGGTCCAAGATTTATACAAAAAGAGCTGTCGCTGCTGCTCATAAAAAATCAATGAGCAATGAGCAAGAATCGTCGTCGTCAAGACAGCAAGATAATTATATGCAAATAAGTAATGAGATCATGATAACAAGGAGATTCAACCCTTTTGTTGATGATCAGCAGTTTTCAGAAAGATTTGCTTATCCTAATTTAATATACAACTATTCCTTTTATCCGAAGCTGCTTCACAATGACTATCTTTTTCATCATGCAAAGATGGATCAAGGTAATATTGTTATCCAACTTTTAGACATTTCTTTTCTTCTTTTTTTTGCTAATCCTTTCTATCTTGGTCTATGTGAGTTCTCTTAATAATGTTTTATGAAATTTCTTCAATCTTACTCTACGTACTTTTCATTTTGTCCATTCGGGGATATTGGATTAAACCTACTCAGCTTCTTTTCATTTAACCATCTCATATGATTTTCATTTTCTTGAAATAAAGAACTCTATAATATTTAATTAGTACTAGAAAGAATACCCCCCCCCCCCA